GAGATGCCGGTGCGTTGCTAAAGCGTCGTCGCGGTCATGACCCCGTGCATGGACCTTGGAAGAATGCTAAAAGGCACGGCTGTTTTTGTTTGTTCTCCCCGTCGTGCGCGTTGTAACAGCGCGTTTTCGAATCAGGCTTTCGGGGATAATTTATAATAGCATACCGCAGCTTATCCTTGCGTGTATACATCGTTTCTCGGAGAAGATACATACGGATAAGCATTGCGGCGATAAAGAGCGGCCATAACTAATGCGAAAGAAATAACCGTGCGACAGGTGCAAGGAACGCCATCGATTGCAATGCAAATTAATCTGCCAGACTTGCTCACCGACCGCGAAAACGGCTTCTCTATTCGCCGAATCTGAATTCGACTTATTTATTTTAATACGAGCGTGCGTTCATTAGCAAGCGGTATACAATTACGCGTAAGCCCCAACAAAAATATATGGAATGGAAGTCAATGCGCAACCTGCTTCCTGTTTTATCAGTGTCTGAAGTATCTACATCAACTCAAACATCACAAAGGGAATACACATCGAAGCAGATTCACACGGTTCTCACAATGCTCGAGATTCGCCCCGTCCCTCCATACTTGAGTTGTTCGCGACTACATAGCATTTTCACGCTGTAAATTTGTTGTGCGATTACCTCATTTAAAGGGTCTTTAGTTTACCTGAAGCGTGTGTTTCTAATTATATCTATAATGAGGATCTCAGTTTTGTTATTTGTTCACTTTGCTTCCCCAAGATCTTAATCGCAGCCCCGATTAAGGCAATCACGGGAAGGAGGGAATCTGGATGTGAAAGAGGATTGCTTTGTTTGTATTATCTTTAGTACTTTGACAGACCGATATCCTGTGCTCAAGCCGTGTGACCTGCTGAGCACCCAAGCGCGACAGATAAGAGTAGTGCGATGTCTGCATGCAGCCAGCGTTTAAAGGCGGAAGTCAATTCTCTGAAACTGCCAAGCGGAGGCGACGGCACTCCAAACAAAGGAAAATGTTGGAGCTCCGTCCTCGTGAAGAACAGCGCAAAGAGTTCGAATTGTTATCGTCAGAGTACGTGACAATCGCACAAAGCGTGGAACTGCCATCGTTGGGATCACGGCCTTCGCACCGTACACACGATCGCCTGAAGTATAAATTCTGCATCAATATTTTGAATTTTGTATTATTTGTAACTCTTGTTTCCCTGACAAAAAGCAGCACTATAGTTCGGTCACGAGGAGCAATTATGTCGTATGCTAAAGAAGGTTTTACATAACTCGCTTTCTCGCCCAGGGCCCCTTGAAAGGTGGAATTATACTTCACCTCACATTCCCACATTCGTCTTGAAGTAGCCCGCCTTCATTATAGAAAAGAGACAATGCTGTGCGCAATTCACTACTCCCCTTTGTAAAGAATGGGAGATCTTTAACAAATCTGACAGTTTTGTTTCACGTTTTCTAGGGCAAAAAAAAAAAAAAAAATCCTAGGCGACTTTTATGTAAGCCGTTTAAGTTTTATATTAAGTCGCTTATGGGGCGACAAAGTCGCACTCGAAGCTGTTAAGGCTAACCAGTTACGTACGTCAAATATTTTGTGACGAACAATATAGGAGAAAAACAATACCTGTTGTTTCTTCTACATTTTTCCTCCTCGCGAATAACTTTAGAGTGGTTTCGTTGTTGAGGTTTGGGAATGAGGACGAATTAAATGCATCCTTTCCAAGTTCGACACCCAATTGTTCAAGGGCGCACGATCATACACAGCCCGTCTACCGATCGCTCCAATTCCCTGTTCGGGGACAAGTGTATCAAACGAGCTTCTATTTTAAACAGTGTCCTCCCCCTCTCACGCACGCCTCGACGCAGGCACGCCCGAGACCACTGAACCACAGGCACACTCCGGCCACACGAGTTAATACACTCACGAAGAAGCCCTCTCAATCCACCCCTACCCGAACGCCAAGCTTACTAACAACTAGGAGGCATGGCGGCAGCGGCGGCAAACAACAGAAGCACCGCCACCACCTAATCACGACCGTTAACAAACGAGCACGGGGCGCCCGGACGAATCGAGAACAAAGCCAACGGGCGCCACCTCGTTACTTCTGGGAATGCGACGCCCGCAGAACAGCCCGGAGGAGTCTTCGGTCATGAGCCTTCCATCCCCCCCATTCCCATGGGCTCCTCAGCCTCGGACGTGATCTCCCGGGCGAAAGCAATCCAGCCAGGAGCGGCGGCAGATGGCGGACTCGGAGAGAAGTCGAGAAGGAGAGCACGCGGTGTGTAGTCGAGGACGTGCTCGTCGTGCTGCGTACGGAATGAGCTCCGGGACCCGGAGCAAGCCGCCGGCAAGGCCACAGCCGCCTAGGACGATGATTCTGCGGTAGGGGACCGTAGGATCCCCTACAGGCAGCCGGCCACAGCCAGCGGCAGCCGCCCCGCTAACCGTGCCGGCTGCAGGGTCCGGTGAGGCGCTTCCGGGTTCAGTGTGCGTGCACCCTTCGATGCAAACCGTTCGATGTCTCAGTGACCGACATCGTTGGACTAGAGGGCTAGCCCTTCCGGAGCCGGTTGTTCGGGCGGGCTCCTCCCTGACTGCGCCGGAGAGCAAAACGGACCGTTAACGGAGATGGAAGACCGACAGAATCAGATCATCACGGCGGGTATGCGCGTTGGGTGCCCCTCTGGCTCGCGGAAGCACGTATACGGGAAATGCACGTGACGTTATGCAACATGCCGGGGGTCGTGTCTACTTATTCTTGCAGAATAAGTTAATTCGGTGCTGCAAAGTGGATGTGTCCAATGATAAGCGCCGCTCAATCAGCAAAGCCGCCCAGATGGAAACTGACGGGACGTCAGTGCAAGCCACTAATGCGGAGTGAAAGTTCGTCTGGTTCCTGCATAGTGCGATGATGTCAGAACGCCGAGCTCTTATTGGCTGATTAAAAAACAAATAGGGGGTAGACTTCAAGGCATCTAGCGTTGAAGTCTACCCACTATCCTTTCAAAAGAAGCCAATCAGAGCTCGGCGTCGTTCTGACGTCACCGCAACTCATGCGCAAGAAGCAGACGATTTGCTCTCCGCATAGCGAGCGTCGGTGGACGGTGGTGTTCGCTGTACTTTTTACTAAGCGCTGCAACCGTTTATATTTCCCCAACGCAGGGCGCGGCCAATTTATGTTTACGCTTCTCGCTGATTGGTTCTTCCACGTACTTATCGGCTAACGCCACAATTCCATTGGCTGCAGGGCAATAATTAGCAATACAAGGTTCAGTACCCTCCGTTTCTTAAACTGCGACTATATAGGGGCGTCACTTGTGCAAGCCCTCATAAATATCAACGTGCCATGCCGTGGAACACCGCCACAGGTCTATAAATGGTTGCGTGAAATATTTTAATGTCTTCTTGGCATGCAGCTGGCAGTTAGGACTTAGTGTCGATGTTTCCAAATAGAAGACGCAGAAGTGTACCCTGAAAAGATGAGGTTGGTCTTGAGTGGCGTGTTAGAAAAATATATGTGTACGTTTCTTCTGATCACGCACCTTAGTTTCAAATTCAAAGTCTCTCTCTAATAAATGGCTCGTGGCAGATCAGCATTGTGTTCTGGCAAGCCACAGAGATTCATACAGAATATTTTTCGCAACACGAACCAAAGCTGTCATTAGTAGAAACCGGCACTGCTTATCTCGTCCCAAGTTTCATGCCGAAATCTATAATAAAAAAAAATACTCCGTAAATCTCTGGGGTTGCGCAGGAATCGTTCCATACGAAAATACTTCACCCCGGAAAAAGGGTGTGACGGCGGGTCTGAATTTTTTAATATTAATCGAGCTTTAATAAGCGGCTTGGTCGAGAGGGTACACAGCTACCAGGACAGGGTCAGAAGGCTTGCGATGTTCACAAATTCGCCACTCCCATCTGGCTTGGACATTTGTGTAACTCTAGCAACACTTTAGAGAGAGAGCTAACACGAATACATAAATAAATAAAACCTTGAGCCGGTGATGTAGCATTCGTTGAGCCTTCATTTTTTTTTTCTTTCTCATTATATGAGGAGAGCTAACGCGGTGACACTAATTGGTCGCCGCGTCACACTTATCACGCGCCATCGATCACACCTCCCTCTCTCTCCTGCACCACGGACTGCAGTCGCGACAAGTATGCAAGTGTGATTACGACACACCCTTCTTCGTCGACCGTCCCGGCCTCACTAGCATTTGGACCATCAGATAATCAGTTCCAACTCTCGATAAAAAAAAAAAATCTCGATCAACGCTCGCCCTAGCGTGTCGTTCTGCGAGACGACACAGATAACTCAAGGGCCCCCGCGAATCTGCCCATCGTCCAATGGGAACACGGCATTCGTAAGAAGGTGCGTAGTCACCGAGTACCGTTTAAAAAAATGTTTGCGTTCCCCGCAGCTGTCGTTCTGAGAAGCGCTTAGCCCAGTCAATACCACCTAGACGACAAGGCCACAGCATGAGGTCTTTGTTGGTGGATCCCCGCTGTACTGACGCAAGCTGTAGGCGGCACTGCCGGGATCCACAAGTGATGACGTTTGGGGAGGAGCACCCAGGCCTTGTCTTCTAAGTGGTAGTGGCCTAGTTCGCCCTGGCTTGTCCGAGGGACCGCGGGCAATCGATGATATCACCGCTTACGTAATTTGAAAAAAAAAAATGTATCTTTTTGTCAATGAATTTGTTTTGAGGCGAACCGCTGTCTGAAAGAATTAAAACGAGTTTTATTCATGAAACAAATTGAGCCGAAAAGACCGTTACAAAAAAAAAATGTGTGCACCAGAAATGAGCACAAGCTAGACCGACACAATCGAGATTTCAGTTCGATTCGGAGATTAGGGTATATCCATACTAATGTTTTGACACGTAGTGTTGTTGCTGAACAAGACGTTAACAGTATTTCTTTTTTCTCTTGAATCATTGTCCCGCATTGTCTGGGAGATGAAAAGAACGGCATTTCTATATCCTCATTCGTGTTTGTTTTCTTCTCTTGCAGATAACCTGTGCTACCTGACGCACGGGGGTTCCTCCGAAACGTTCACCGTCAATGAAGCATTCCCAGTCGGTAAGTCCACGAAGCTGGAGCGCGAACAAGTTCACTTACTCGCAAGGCACACCAATAGTTGACGCTAAAATATACCCATACGAATATTTTCTGAAACAATAACAAATACAAAAATACCTCGAACTACACGCTCTAAAACGCCGATGCGCCCTCAAAGCACTTGGAAGTGCCCATTGATGCAATCAATCTACGACGGGAGTTCGGCAGATAAGGAAGCTGAAAGTGTGTTGAGACGAGGGGTGTGCGAATGATGGTTCGAATCGAATAGCACTGCGTCATTCATAGCCTTCACAGTGCAATCAAAACCCACGATATGCGAGCTCTGTTTCTAGTGTCGAAGGACGCTCTGCATGCCAGTCTTGTACCATAGCCTCCTCTATACTCAAAAAGCCTGGCAGTTCGATGGCGGAGCCATAGAGTGCCCGGTCGCAGATTTGGAGCGCGAGGATCTGGTAGCAGAGAGCATTTCTCGGGGAACCTGGTCGTCAGCGCACAGCTTTTGCAGCGGCGAGGACCCAAACATAGTTTTCAAACCCGACGAGAAAAGAAACGGTAGCGCGAGGAACGCGAGGAGCACGAGCGGACATTCCATCGCTCGGGAGAAGTATGCGTCGGCGTCTCGCCGCAGCGGGACGCCCGTCACGGGGCTCTCCTCTCATCCGTTGTCTGGCGCTCTACCTTTTCAATTTCGGCGGCCGCGTCTCATGGCAATCTGCCAGGGTTTGTCAGTATAGAGGAGGCTATGGAACTACACGTTACTCGAAAAAAAAAGTTATTAGACTGAAATCCCCGAATTATATAAGCAAACTATATTCGTAATTCACCACTTTAGATAACCACCCTCCTCTCGGAGGCTTTGTTTGAGGATTCCTTAGTAGGTAACTCGTATAAACAAAGGGCGCCATTAGAAAGGGGAGGGGAAAACTGGCAATGGTTAGGAGTACATTTAATACTTCCAAAATTAATCAATTTACTCTCGGGGTTACTCCCTAATGGAGGTAATAAAATGGTCCCACAAGTTCTGCAAAAAGTAGTGAATTACAAGTAATTTGATTACCTGCATCGATTACCGTACAAGCCTGCGCTGTACTATTCAATTCGAAGCAGTTTTTTCACATCCGAGTTCAGGCCTAAAGAGGCAGTGTGCGCCCTGACAGAACGCGTAGCGTTGTTCCATCGTTTTTACTGCCACAGCGCAGATTACTTTTTTACGTCGAAACATACTGTCAAGGTCGTCATTTCCGTTGATTACAGCGATAGACCCTCCCAACCGCACTGCAGAAAGCTAGACACGCCTGATTTCTCAGAGTGTGGGATTTTCCCCTTTTCCCTTTTAAACTAACCAGACGCTTGTCATCGGCAAACCTACCAGCGTCTCTGATCAAACCTGATAAAGTTTAATCGTCCGTTTTTTGTGTTTTTTTTTTTTTTTTGTTAAATAATACAAACATAAGAACGTTTTAAATGTGCAAAGGAAACTGCACTCGTAAGTACTCATTCGGAGGTAAAAAAACAAAAAGAAAGGAGGAAAGCGTAACTGTGCACACCTTTATTGCTCTAGTTTTAGACAGGATAAACTTAGATTCCTCCGTGATGTGACGTTAACAAATTCTTCGTGCGCCCAGGCGTGGCAACGATAAGCGTACCTCTGAAGCCCATGGGGTCGACGTCCGAACCGCTCGTGTGCATCTCCGCGGACAGTTCGAGACGCAAATGCAAGGAGGTTACCGCGAGGTCCGCTGGTGCAGCCCCCCGCGACCCCACTTTTTGATTCGTTGCAGCCGCAGCCCCGTTTACACTTTAGACAACTTCTTCGGCCTTTAGCGAGGCTGCGAAAGCGGACGAGGATCGAAGAGGACCCGGAACTCGGCCAAATGGCGTTGGGCAACAGCAGGAATCGTGACACATATCTGTCATTCAGAGCGCAGCTGATTCGTTGACTGCCACGTGTGTAAGATTGGCCCGCTCCGTTTCATTTCCATTTCGACGCAACGTCGCGTGTCGTAGCAAACTCCAGATTTCATTCGGGAGCCTGGATTTCGGTTGAAAGCATAAACCATTCGTTCCCATGTTCCAACTTGCCTCTCGCCCAGGCAGTATCTACAAATGAATAAAATTCGTTCGACTAAGGATCAACGAAAGGCTCGTAAAGCCAACACTTTAAACGTCCCTTACAAAAATGATCAATGAGTTTCCCTCGAGTTTTTAATGTATGCCTACAGAGTCAAATGAAACTCAATATAAATTCAACGCCTAATGAGTTTGACATAAGAAACTCACTATCGATTCTATTGAATTTACTCGTTAGGAATGCAATTGAGTTTGGTCATTCAGAACTCTATGTATATTCTTTTGAATTTACTCATTAGGAATGCAATTGAGTTTGGTCATAATAAACTCAATATCAATTCAATTGATTTTGCTCATTGAGAATGCAATTAAGTTTGGTCAATCTGAACTCTATATATATTCTTTTGAATTTACTCATTAGGAATGCAATTGAGTTTGGTCATAATAAACTCAATATCGATTCTATTGAATTTGCTCATTAGGAATGCAATTGAGTTTGGTCATAAGAAACTTAATATCGATTCTATTGAATTTACTCATTAGGAATGCAATTGATTTTGGCCATTAAAACTCAATATGGCGTTGACGTTCATGAACTCAATATATATTCTTAAGAATTTACTCATTAAGAATGGAATTGAGTTTGCTCATTTAGAACTCAGTATCGATTCATTTAAATTTACTCATTAGATATGCAAACGAGTGTGGATTTAGCGACTGCACCGAACGATCATTCCTTGTACCAATGTGTTTTTCTTTTTTTTTTTTTCTTTTACTAAGGGATAGGGCCTAATGACGTTGAAACACTGTTTATCAATTATCAGACTTCCGAGAACGAGATAGCATACTGGAAATCTTAATAAATGCTGAAGTGGGCACCGGCCACATGAATACCTTTCCTATGTAGGGTATATAAGGCGGTGGAGTAGTGTGTTGTGATTGCTTTATAATGTTTGTGTTCGTTTCCCTAATGTGCTTCGTTTCCTCCATGTTTAATGCTTTAAGGCATTATAAGATAAAAATTCCCCACACGTTGCAGGATCTTTTATTTGAGCGTGGTTCCAAACGATTCTATTGAAACACAGTTGCAAAAAACCTATTGAACCTCCTGTAAAGGTTCAATAGGACTCAAAAAAAAACTATTGTGTTTCAATTGAGACTCAACGGTATATTGAGTGAATCCTTTACACTTTCACTTGAAACTCCTTTAATATTTTTGTAAGGGATGTTGGGTTGGGAAAAGTGTTCAAGAATCTCATGTTGACAATACAGCCGGTACGGGCTTATAATTGACAATAAAATACATTATTCAGTATACAAACGAAGCTTCTTAACTAGAAAAATCATTTCACTTTAAAGTAAGGTTCACCCAGGAACCTTACAAGTATTAACACAAAATGGTATTTTGCCCAGAGAATGACCGACAGCGTACGAGGAGGTAGGGTGAGTGGTTTAAGGATTTAATAGAACATCTCAAAAGATTGGCGAGCACTGAACGTCACACGGGTGATCATAACAATGTGTATAACTGGTGCAACAAAAATATAAGTATTTAAAAAGCAATGCTTAGCTGCAAATTCTTTGCCTCCTGCGTCAAATGGATTTCATTGCAAGTCTGCTTGTTTTCACTCTTCGCAGTTTACGCAGTGATCTTACCGGCTGCAATATACAAAAACAAAGTAATGTTTTTATCATTAAATTTTATAACAAATTACATGGCCTTCAAGATTGAGGTCAGTTGCATCCAGAGTGCAGACATGCAAAAGACTCGCGTATATTTGTATCAATCCAAAAGGCTCAGACTCTAGGAATGTCTAGATGGGAAAAAAAGAGAGCTCTGCAAGGCAGCCAAGTTCCAAAACATTGAAGATATATCCCAAATTGTCAAAGTGCCCTCCGCAAGCTCCACGTATCCTTCTCGCCGAAAAGGGGCCGAAAGCCACGATCAATGCTCGCCATTCCCGCGTCTGTAGCGCGCGCCATGCACCTTCACACGCATTGAATCAAAATTTCGCCACAGGAGCCCTGTCTAAACTAAAATTCTGATAATATAGTAAACAACATTCCTAGTATCGAGTTCAATAAAATAGTTCGATGAATTTTACAATCGTCAATTCCTGCAACTTTTTTTTTTTTTTTTTTCACCCGATTCATACAACTTTCGGCTAACGCTTCGTAATTTTTTCTTCTTTTTTTTTTTTTTTTTTGCAGAGAGCATCATAGGCACCCTCCAGGTGGCCGGCAACGCGAGCGAAACGTACGGCGACATTGAGCTTCGGATGGCGGATCCGGAGAAAGCACCGCTGTCCATCCTGCCGGGCACCAAGGACCTGGTGCTCAGGCAGAAGCTGGACAAGGAAGGCGAGGACGGTCTCCGCTCAGTCACCACCGACGTCATCTGCGCGCCGAGGCACACCCGGGACAACGATCACCTGGTGCGTCATCGCGGTCTTTCGCTACTCTGCTCATAGTGAAGAATCTTAAGGTCGTGCCTACGTTCGAACTCAGAGGGAAACCGGTCTTTATCGAGAACCAAAGTGCCGATAGTGACAGCCTGTAAGAACCGCAGGGCGTGCTGGGTCTAGGTCATCTCTTTATATGGTTCCGAAGCCAATCAGATTGCAGTGCTAGCAGATAAGAACGACAAGGAACCAATCACGAACCAGGACGCGTGATTGTAATAAATTGCACTCTAAAAAAAGTCTGTGCGTCTACTTTCCCGCAGAACACTCTGAGAACCAATCAGCGCAACTTACGGAGGCAGCTCAGCGAATGAGGATGCCGAAACATATGTTTAGACCAAAAAACGCTGACTGAGTTGTGACATTAAGCAATGCAAGCGTGACGTTTCGCATCGCTTAATGTCACAACTCAGACTGCGTTTTTTGGTCTAAACATATGTTTCGGCATCGTCATTCGCTGAGCCGCCTCCGTAAGTTACGCTGATTGGCTCTCTGAGTGTTGTGGCAAAAATAGACGCACAGCCTTTTTTTAGAGTGTACACCCTGCGAATTTCTTGGGCTGTCAGTGACTATCGCCCCTTTTTCTTTTTCTTATTCCTTTTTCCTGTTCTTAGACATCCCTGTGAAAGTATTTCATGGGGAAATTAAGCTGAATGTGATGATCTAATCGTCTAAGCGCTTCCGGACCTATACTTTGTTTCACCATAAGCGTGCATCAGCGCAGTCAAAGGCTAAAACACACACATACACACTAAAAGAACGAGGTGCATTCAGTGGGTTTGATTAGCTTAGCCGATTATAGCAGACGCACATCAAGATGAAGAAAGCTAGGATGTTGCACTTTTGGCGAACTTTGACCCCATAAGCTCGTAGTTCCGGCAGCGCTCTGAACCTCTCGGTGAAACAACGTATGGATATTTAGTAAATTCTGAGCAGTCTAGTGAGTTAATGCAAACTTGATAATTAAACAGGCTTTAATACTATGCGTGAGAGCTCACCCTCGAAGAGCGCTCGCTAGCGCCTTTTTCCCTTGTAGTTAATCGCATCAACGATAACGCTCTAAAATGTAGTCGTCTAATGATCACTGCCTTCTGAGGACGGAAAAATTTGGTGACCTTTTTGTCAGAAAGTTAAGCACTCCGTCGAATGCTCGCGAAGTCTGGTAGCTATTGACTTTGTCATTATAATAATTGCAAAGATTAAGAAACAGAATTCGTTTTATTGGGGATTGTCAGCAATCTTACCTTCAGGCAAGTCACAGTTTGCGGTCTCTTCGTAAAGTGTCATATTGCAGTCTGTTTGTAAACTGCAATATTTATCCGCAAACAGATACAGCACGCATTTTAACTTCGATGTTATAACTTTCTAAGCAACATCAACTGGATTTCTTATCGGCGTAAGGAACTGAAGATTGCGCTTACAAACAAAAATACTGGTTTTATCAGCCACCCAACGGGATACAAAAGTCTGTCAACCGGATCTTCAAGACTTGGCAAGTCTCAAAGATCGTGGATACGAGTCCCAAGCGAACATGCATACGAATCACTCAGAATCGTTCGTATGCGTGTTAGCCCAAATTTAAATCTTCCTCGTTCGATTAAACCTTATTAACAAAAACAGAGCAAGCTACTCCTCTTAATTTGAATCGTCGATTCGTACGTAGTTGTTCTTCTTGTGTCCGTCTTGGTTTGTTTTTGAGCCCCTGAATGCCAAAGAAACCGCGATATTTCATCTGTCGCATTTGCAGTTGTCTCTTCTCGTTAACCCCATTCCTATTTGAGAAATGACCGAACGGCCGAAACTCGACCGCGTTTCCTATAACTCCTCGACGAAGCGGGTTGCTAAGAAGCGAGGCAGGGCCACTGTCTCCACTTCGTTTCTACGACTCTTGCTGGTAAATGCTATCTTGAAAAGCTTCCTCGTGTCGACCGCGGTTCACTCGCACGTGAAATGAAATGGGAGAGCCAAAACAAGGACGGTGTCTTGTGACGATAAACTAGAGCACGGGTTCGCGGCGCCCCCCTGCGTCCAGCAGCCTTATTTGTCTGCTAGTTACAAACGACGGCGGCAAGGAAGGCTGATGACATTCCGTATCACTAGCGTCTCTGCCTGTTTAGTTGGGCACAATTCGGACGTCCGATAACGACGTCGTCTGCGTACATCCACCGCAGTTCTTTAACAATGACGGCAACTTCGAAGAGGCTCGAACTGAAGAAACAAGGTTTTGAGGAACAAAACCCAATTAGCCTAGTCCCGGCGGTGGCAGTGTACAAAAGATAGATTTGGGTCAATGGCTTGTGCAAGTGAAGTCCCTGTTGTCGGTGTGGTCAGGCGCAGCGAACTCTTCAATGGTTCGCCAATTGTTTAGAGGAGAAATGTCGAAAGTATCTTAGCACGCACTCCAACGACAGACTTGTTTTATCTTTGAAAAATTACAGATATTATATTCTCAAAAAAAATTTAAATGCACTAAAAAAATAATGAATTACGTAAATTCCAAAATACTTTTGTTTGTTTTTTGACGGGACTGAGAAAGTTGGGAGTCTATCGCGCAAAAACAAGCACGGTAGTTACAGGATAACATTACCATAACCACAAGTGCATGCACACACTTTTTTTTTTTTAATCAAGGCAGGAATGCTTAATTTGATATAGGTTGAGAACGGTAGGGAGCCTTGTCTTTCGTAGTGCTTTGAATGCGCGAGTACACTCGAGCCTTACGAGACGCTGAAGCATTACCAAAGGCACAAAACTCGCGCTGGAGGAGGGACGACTGAAGGACCTCCTTGCCATTCTAATCCTGTCAGCAACAGAATTATAACGGCGAGGCATTAAATGCAAGAACGTCTTCTTTCGCGTACAGCGTGTGAAGCGTCATCATCTTCAATCAATTCGGAGCTTGGCGAACCACTAAATGAATCGAGTGATTTTGCGAGGGACGAGCTTCAGATTACGTTTCGCGGCACTAACGTATGCTTTGTGCTGGAAACGCTCCTTGAGCTCAGTCTTCCGCTAAAGTCCCCTTGTAAGTCCCAGCACGCGGAAAAACACCAACTATCGTTTCTTCTTAGAGGAATAGAGAAATATATATTTGCCAAGAAAAACTAGCAGGTGTGTTCGTTATTCACTTTCCTTTGTAGCGCCTTCTTTTTTCGTTTTATCCAAGCCGCTTGCTCGAGTCGGAACACGACATTAGAGGAAACACAAAAAAACATCCAAGCTCACTTCCACGAGCCATCTGGTATTCTCGAGTAAAGAGACGCTTTTTTTTCGGCACCAGATACGCATACACAACTGGGCGAGCGTTCCGCACGCTCCAACGGACGCGTTTCTGGACTCGAACCACGCCTTGCTTGCGTCGCGAATGAGTTTCCAGAACCCAGCACTCGATCAACGCGCATGTCATCTGCGCAGCATTTGAACGACACCGGTGTGCGCCATTGGCGGAAGTAATGGAGTTCTCGTAATTGTAACGAAATGGTCCTTAGCGGTTCAAGGTACTATTCCTAGACGCACGTTTGGTTGCAGGTTGCGCGCGCCCGCATGATTGCCACTTAAAAAAAGGAAAAAGAAAAAAAAGGTTTTGAGATATTTTTCCGCGAGCCGGCGGGGTTCACAAAAGAATTCTTTTTCCGGAAACCAGATGTAAATCGAGTTTGGCAGGCACCGCATCTGTTTACAGAAGTTAGAAACGCCGAGCAAAAAACAGTGGTAAAACAAGAAAACAAAAAAACGTGCATGTTTTCCTGGAGGACCGCGACCCGTGTGACCGCGCGCTGGCGCGCGCACGACACACTAACGCTTTCTATTCCGTGCAATATGCTTGACGCATTAAAAGAAAAAAAGAAACCTAGCGCGTTTCCTGTTTTCAGCTCGGTTAGGAGAACATGTCATGTTTGTAGTGATTCGAATACTTCCGCTTTGTAGGTAGGTATGCGTGCAGTGGGCCGTCGTGCATGGCACACGTTGTTCTGAAGCGCGTTGTACCTATATTACTTCTCGTAACGACGCTTTACAGTAGTCAGAGTGAAGCTGTTATTTCGGCGTAAGAATCAACTGAAAGTAAACTAAAATTATTCGGCTTTGTAATGACGACAGTAATGGGACAAATTCGTACTGTTCCATTGTGGTTTTGAAGTATCAGTTGACACCGACTTGGCCCGACGAAAACTTTGATCGCTATTGTAATATAGCCTTTCCGAGGAGCGGGAACCTATCTGCAGCATGCATTTCCCACCACCGAATTTGTTTTACTCGGCAAGAACGAGAACGAATGACCGCCAGCATGGTGCGAAACGTCAAGTGCAAGCAGTGTATAGACTCTCCTGCTTTCCGTCGTATTACATCTTGTTAACTTGGTAGATAGTTGCATCACGCGACAGTGCGATTTTAATACGTGATTTTATTTCCCGAATGATTGGGAAGACAAGTCCTTAGGCGAGTTATCCCGTATGGAAATCTTATATCCGGGCCATATCTGGCCATATCAAACATTATATGATTATATACGGCCTATATACAGCCTTATTTGGCGTATATACACACTTATCTGGCGTATATACAGCCTGATATAGCGTATATATTGATATATCTGGCGTATATACAGACTTATCTGGCATATATACAGCCTGATATGGCGTATATACAGATTTATCTGGCGTATATACAGACTTATCTGGCGACTGGTTTTCAATATTAAAAACTAAAAAAAAAATTTAAAAACTCAGTAAGCAAACACTGAATGACTGATTGTTCGCGAGCTAAATATTAGCACAAATAATCCTCAACTTTAGCTTTGACAAGCTCAAGTTTGAGATTATTTGTGCTAGTTTTCACGAGGATTTCAACAAAGCTTAGTTATTTCAAAGTGCTAACATTACGCCCGAATAGACAATTTGCTAAATCCCCCAAACGCCTCGGCCCGTACTCGAGGAATCATGTGGACGGTGTTTCATCCGCTGTCTATTGATAAA